CCCGCGGGCTCAGGCAATCCACTCGCCTCAGCTTCCCAAAGGCACAGGATTACAGGCTGAGCCACCAAGCCCGGCTAGGGTAGCAAATTTTAACATGGGCTTTGGTGGGGTCAAATGAACTGTATCCAAACTATAACACACATATGAGTGAGATCACATGATGTTCGTCTTTATGTGTCTGGCTTATTTCACTTAGCGTAATATCCTCCAGGTTAATCCATGTTGTCACAAACAACAAGATTTCCTTCTTTTCTAGTCAGTTGTTGTTAATCAGAACTTAATTAAAGTCACCTGTAGAGCCTTTGCAGAAAAAGAGCCTGTACCCTTCCCCTGCCCCCAACAAGTATTGATTCTCCTGCCTGGAGTGGGTCCAGTTCTGTATCACATATACAACATTCCAATGTGCTCCCCTACCAACCACTCTAAGCCATTCTAGGCAAATATGATGAAATGATATTGGTGTCCACCTCTTAACCCGCATCTGCCAAACAACCTGGAAAACGTGATGACTCCTTTGTTAGATTGCCCTTTATCATCTTAAGCCCCCACCCCCAATTTGTCCTACTGGATATGCTCTTAACATTATTTGGCAAGAAAGAATAGCTGTTCAAATAATGACATTGGCTTCTTCCAAATATAGTAAAAAGAAATTAGGAAAATCATCCCAGATCCTACCTTGGGCTTAAGCTGCATGGATAAAACTTACGGCATCTTCAAGAGAGAGGCAATCATTGACTATTAAATATCCTCAAATGTGACTTTCTTTTCCATTGCTAAAATGATCCCCCAGTAGTACAGGGAAGGTGAAGAAAAGATATATTCTCTAGTTTTCCTGAGTTAATTTTGCTCAGTAAGCCAAGTTATTCGTTTTGTTCCAAGGCAAGGGTCCATGCAATTAATTGAGTCAATGCAATAGGTTTTCTTTCTCTGTCTGCAAAACTCTGTTTCTAAACAACATTTGGTACATGGCATTTAAGCCAACTGCCTCATTAAGCTGAGAATTCTGGAGAAAGTGTTTGCAGAATAGGGACATTTGTAATTAATGCTGAAATGTCATGGTTTCTTCTGCCTGGCCCCTTCCTCCTTAGTTTCATATACTTAATTATCTGTTTAATGAGTAACTAACATACAGAAGAATAATAATACCAAAAAAAGCAATGGACATTTAGGAAAAACAAAGTAAAGCCATCCTATTATAGTTTTGTACAGTGGCATTTTGGCATGGCAGAATTTCTTGTATATGCCACTATCTCACTGGGGGATGGCACTGAAAGGAACAAACCTTTGCTGTCACACACAGCAGATACTTGCCATCCTTGAACTACATGGTCTCTACGTTCCTTTCCAATTATTACATCTTGTAATAGGCAGTGATCATTTTTTCTGCATTCCAATTCTCTGAAGAGTGATTGAGCTTCGTGGAAATATTCTGGCATTTTCTGATGAAATTGATGGAAATATGGTATTCTCAGCCTAGCCTCAGGGCCAGCCTTCACCCATACTTTCTTAGTCTCTTGTCCCTACAAGTGTGACCTACCCTGACCTATGTTGGTCAGAGCCATGGAGTAGCATTTTCTTTAGGTCGGAGGACGAAACTAGAAATGAGATATAAACAAAGATGAGTGGAAATGAAACATGACCCTTGCCCTCCCTTTCCTGGTCACTTTTCACCAAACCTATTGGATAAGAATGAAAGTGGTCTGATTTTGCACACGGTTGCCAATTTGTCATCCTTCTGATCTTGGGAGATTACCTTGGGTTAAAAGAGAAGAAATAGATGAGTTGTTTCTTTGGGTTTTTTAAAATTATTATCGCTGTTTGTTTGTTTTGTCCAAAGCTGCTTCATTTATAAAGCATTTTGTGCAGCCAGCCATTTTTCTGTTTTGGATTTTCCTGAGTCGGCTGTGAATTAATGTGCTGTGAAAAGTGCTGCAGGGCTCCTCTGCTGATTCCCTCGGGCTCTGCGCCCTTCTCCCTCTGCCCCTTGAATTCTGCTCACTCACAGGGATTTCACTGGAGCCCCCATCGGTCCCTTTCCTCCTGGCCTGCAGTGCAGAAGTGATTGAGCACAATCACCCGCAAATTGCTTGCAAATGGTGCCTATTTTTTCCAGCAAACCATCTGCCGGAGTCTATTACTCACCATGCCATGCGAGCAGCCAGGATGGATCTGGTGACTCTGTAAAGTCACTTCTGAATCACCTCATTCCAGACTCGTACCTGAACGTCACTCTCCTGGCTGCTAAAGACACTGGAAAATTACAAACCCTTGAGATTTGGCCTTCCTCCTTCCTTTTTTTTCTCCTCCTCATTCACCTCAGCAGACCTTTGAGATTTTATCAGCACTGGAAAAGCTTCTGAGGACTTTGTGCAGGATGCCGTGAGATCACAATGCAGAGGTGGAGCGGGATATGAGAGGCGACAGGCCACCTTGCCCCTCAACTTACAGATGAGGACTCATGACCAGAGAGCAGGACTGGGGTTCGAAACCAAGACTCCGGGGCTAGAGAATACATTTTTCACTAGCACTGTTTTCCAGACCCTGGGATGCACTGTCTTGTGATAAAGTCAGGTGGCACCACATTCGGTGGGGGCGGGGAGGTCTCCACAGGCTACTGGTGAGCCTGGAGGGAGGCCCTCTGCAGAACGTGAGAGAAGCATGCGACGTGAGAATGACACAAGGGAGTTTATCATTCCCACCAGTGCTGCTGTAAGTCCCACAGGCATCAGGGGAGGAGTGGGTGGGGTCGGAGGGCATACTGTGCCACTAGCCTCCCCTGCACACAGTCTGGCTGTAGCTACCACCCCAGGAGGAGTGTGGGCAGTGAGCTCGCTTTAGGCCTCTGGACTTGGCTTTGAAATGCCACCACGGATGGCACTGACCAGGCCCTGAGCCCTTCTTCATGAATCCTCATTCCAGCCATCTAGTCTCCTCCCCTCCACATCCTCTCCAGAGTTGGGAGGTCTCTGACATTACCCACTTCTTTCCTGTCTATGATCCTGTCCTTCTGTGGACAGTCATCCTTCAGCTTCGTTCCAACGTTGTATCGTTCTTTGCTGTATTATGCACTCATTTTGACTTTTTGATGATGTCTCTTCAGGTTCCTTAACTGCCTTTCTACTACTACAGCTACACAGACCAAAAGTTTATGGTATGCATCCAGGAATAACTAGTTGAATGGGACTCATTATGTAATTATACTGATCATTATTTTAAAAACAAACCTAGAGGGAATTAGGTTGCACTACATGTAGACCCTGTATAAGAAAGAATCCTAAGAGCTGTTAGCAACGAAATGGATTCTCTCACTCCCAATACTCTGATTTGTTACACTTGGAAAGTGCCTTCTAGTGACATGTTTAAAAATACAGTAGTTTTTTTTTTTTCCTGGAATAGATATCAAACCCTACAGAACTTATCTATAGTTAAAATTCTAATTGGCCAAGACACCTGTGGGATGGAACAGAATAATGGTTATTTCCGGTTGAAACCTAAGAGAATCATTACTTCCATTTCAGTCCTTCTCAAGATGGCTCCATGTTGTTTTTCTGTCATGTATGGTGAATGTACATCTATCTTTTAAGAGTGAGGAGCATTCTGGGACTTTGAACACATTCTCCTTCCTCAGGGTTGTTGATGAGGGAGCTCCTCATGTATGCATGAATCCTTGGGCATCTCCTGTAAGTTGCTCTGTTTTTCTAGGATTCAACCTCTGACAGAGCTTGCTTTCTCACTTGGTTCTGTCTGTATGTGCCATGCTTCAGTGTGAACTGATTTTCTCTAGATCTGTGTTTCAAATCAAATAGCAATCCACAACAGTACAATAATACTTGGTATTATTTTGTACTTGGTTTTGGGGCTCATAGTGCTCAAATTAATGCAAAAAAAGATTGCTAGACAATTAGCATCTGTTCAGTTGAGCTTTGATTTATTGGGTTTTCTAGTGCCAGATTTGGTTGTTGGCATCAGATATTTCTTGAGCCCCCATAGAATGAAGGCACTCGCAGGGCAGAGTGAGGGCTTCTCAAGGGTTGAGGCAGATAAATGACTCCTTGAGAGTTCATTTCTTTCCTGACCAGTTCACAATCGTGCCTGTGCAGCTCTGGTTTCCACCCCGTTTGTTGCCCATTCACATTTCTCTACTTTCTTTTCTCTTAGAGGAGATTTTGAAGACCTACATTGCACACTGGTGGTCTCCAGATGGTACAAGACTTGCCTATGCCACCATCAACGATTCCCGCGTCCCACTCATGGAGCTCCCCACCTACACTGGCGCCATCTACCCCACAGTGAAGCCCTACCATTATCCCAAGGTAGGTGAGAAGAAACTGCAAAACACATTCTTTGAATTATTCATGAGTTCCACCACCCAGCTGACTCAGAGTGTGGAGATGTGATAATCAGACATGTTTATGAGCAAAGCAGTAAACAGAGGAAAGATTAATTGTTCTCATTACGTTGCATTAAATTCCTGTCTTTGTTGAGTTGAATTTGTTGGCTGGATTACTTTATTTTAAATAATTGAATTACTGTTAATCATGTGTCTAATCATTTGAACCAAAATAGATACATTGCCTCCACTTGTGCCTCGTCGTGACAAAAACTCATACTGCCCACTCTTGCTCTTTATATTGCTATTTTGAATTTGGCTTCTGGGAGCTCATGAGGACTTCTGCCTGCCCTTGATCTCCTGGTTCTAGGTGAAACTGTTTTGTGCTTAGTCATCACTATGACCTAAATGTTTACGCCCTTCTCAAATTCCTACATTAAAATCCTAGCCACCAAGGTGATAGTATTAGAAAGCGGTGCCTTTGGGAGGTGATTAGACTATGAGGGCAGCACCTCCATGAGTGGGATTAATATCCTTACAAAAGAGATCCCTCCCTCTTTCCATTATGTGAGGACACAGTGAGAAGACGCCCTCTGTGAACCAGGAAGTAAAGAGGCTCTTACCAGACACAGGTTCAGCCAGCACCTTGATCTTGAACTTCTAATCTCCAGAAATTTGAAAAATATATTGCTATTGTTTATGAACCACCCAGTTTATGGTATTTTGTTACAGAAGCCTGGACGAACTAAGACAGTCACATTCTGATCCAAAAAGCCAGTAGAACAGCAAACATCCAGTAGAATGGGTGGGTGGCAGGAAATGGAGGTAGGGGCAGGGACATCCCAAATCACAATATCCCAGCCTCAGGGAGGGTCTGATGCTAAAACCTCCTAGCTCACTCAGTTGGAAGGAGACTGACGTTGGTGTAGACGCAGCTCTGGTGGACATGCAGGGTCTGCTTTGCTTCCCGCTGGCTTTACTAGACTGCTCTGAGGCCACTGAACAGAATGGAAGTGAGCAGTTTGCTCCCTGGACCCTCCTGGTGACTGAGAACTTACTCCCCATTGAAGGGTGCCTATTAAGCATCCCTTCAGCCTTTGCCAGTGGGGCATGAAAACCTCACACTCTAACCCACCAGCGAGCTCAGGAAGCTGACAGTACATGCCTGCTATACCATAAGTACTCCCTAGACATGCTAGCCTAGAGTATGTAGCAAGAGGAGTGATGATATGTAAGGAAGATAAATGGGACCAGTGAAGTTCCCAGAGTCACAGCCAGAGAAAAGAAACACCTTTCAGTCTGCTTGTGTTGCCACAACAAAATACCTGGGTGGCTTAAACAATAGTAATTTATTTTTCACAGCTCAGAAACCTGGAAGTCCAAAATCAGGGTGCCAGCTGATTCAGTTCCTGGTTAGGGCTCCCTTTCTGGCTTGCAGACAGCCGCCTTCTTGCTCTGTCTTCATATGGACTGGCAAGAGATGGCTCTAATGTCTCTTCCTCTCCTTTTATGGACACTAATCCCATCATGGGGATGCCACCCTTATGACCTTATCTAACCTAAATCACAAAGGCCTCACCTCCAAATACCATCACATTGGGGGTTAGGGCTGCAACATGTGAATTGAAGGGACACATTCAGCCTATAACATCTGATAATACAGACTTCTTCTAACTGCCCTTTGATTGGCGTGGCCAGTCTCCAATGGGGTTTCAGAAGGAAGGAGCATGATTCCCCTGTGACTATAGCCTTTGTCTCTGCCTTTTCCCATTCTGAGAGCATCTAGAAGTTAACACAATGTGGACTTGCCTTTGACAGAGTTATTTCACTCTTTTTTCAGTTAAGCTTGATTATACTTACTTATGTGGCAGCATCCAGGGTTTTCACTGGAAGCAGAGTTAAATAAAGTATGCTGTACTGTTGTCAAATCCTTTTGACCCTTCTGTGTTTTCCTAATCATGGCCTACCTCCCCCCACAGCCAGAAAAGTCAATGGTTGTCTGATCTCCATCCCCTTTATGGGAAGTCCCCTAATCTAAGAGCTATAATCTGAAATTCTTTGATGCCCTATTGATCTTACAGTGAACTTTGGGACATGTTCTCTGAATCTGGGATTATGAAACCTCAGATTGCTCAGGATTTGAGGTTTCATACTTTAATAGAAGATCAGAATATTCTGGCCACCAGAATTTAGACATTGTTTGCCCATTTCTACCCACTTTCAAATAAAAGCCGTGAGTCAGTGAAGCACCTGACTTATACTTTGCCATGGGGCTGATTCCCCTTATAAACCTGAACATCCTCTGCAGGGTGGAAATGAGGGCATCAAGCCAGACACTGAAGTCCCCCTGACAAGGAAACCTCATATTTCTCCCTAGCCCCTCCATGCCAGTTACTTGTCCCCCATCGAGGGGATCAGGGAAGCAGAACAGTGCCCCATTTCTTTTTTGAAGGACTTAATCTTTTCCCACACTGAGCCATGGCCGCTGCTCATTAATGTCCATCACTGGCTCACCCTCCAACTCTCCCCCTTCTGTCATCCCACCCATCTTTTCTCTCCCATTCATTGTCTAGTCTTCTCTTTTTCCCTCCCATAGTAGTTAGACAAATGGTACAGTACTCACTTAATATTGGTAGACCGAAAGCGATGGATGGAATGGGAAAGGAGTGGGGTTCCAGGGAAGAAAATGAATCCACCCAGTTAGCCCTTTGTCCTTTTTGAAACTCTACACATGAATGATTTGTTCTCATTATCAATTTCACCCCTAGTATTGAGCTCCAAAGTTTCAGGAGTGCCACTTGTGAGTCTTCCTGGAAAGACTTTGTGGAGCTGAGGCACTCTTCAGGCATGAGATTGTTTATTTATTCTCTGTCCCTTTTTAATTCCCAGGCTGGATGTGAAAACCCCAGTATCTCCCTGCACGTTATTGGCCTAAATGGACCCACTCATGATCTGGAGATGATGCCACCTGATGATCCACGTATGAGGTTTGCCCCCTTCTCTCTATTTTGTCACAAAAGAAAAATGAAGACGAATGTGCATTTGTATGGTCTTTTCAGGATCAGATTTATTTTACAACTAATTTGAACATCCAAGAAAAGGGTACATTTTCCAAAGTTTTCCTCTGAAGCTTTATGCTTCTGTTTTCTAGAAAAATAATACCATTCAACAAGTATTAGGATTTCTTATCTCATGTCAGGAACAGATTATCCTCCTGGGAGGCTGAGCTCCTCCAGGAAGGGCATGTCTGGGTGAAAAGAGTATCTTAGTAGGGCACCCTACTTTGCACATGGCAGAACATTCGCCAGATGAACTGATGCCGTCTCTCCAATAAATTCATAGAGTTGGACCTTCTGTAAATGACGCCCTGTTTTTAGATCATTATTTTAAAGAACAGAATAATTTGACAGTGGTGAATCCTATTCTAATAATGGCAGATCTCCCCGTTGGTAAGGTCACAACCGTGTAGTTGGTGGAACATATTGACAATACTATTGATAGATTATTATGAACATCTGGTTTTGAAGAATTGTTTCTAAATCAAACAACTGAGCAGACTCAATCTAAGTAAAGTGGTCTGAATATCAGTTTAGTATTGTCCCCAATTCAAGCAGTCTGGGGACTAATTATGCTCCCAGAGTCCAGTTATACCATCGTCAAACCCTCCTCTGTTAAGAATATTAATGGGAGACTCAAAAAAGGCAAGGGGACTGTAGTGGTGCCAAGACTCACCCATGTCCTTCTGTGAACAGGCCTATTTAAGCCAAGTATGATTCATTCTGAGGCTCAGCAAATACTCAACCCAATTTTTGTCATACTTCAAGCCTGGGTCTGTTTTATTCAATTCAGAATTCCATGTTAGAGGTAGCTTCTGGCAGCTTTCAGAAGGGCAGGAGCCTTGACCTCAGGTCTCACTCCAGGACGGATGTTCCAGCACCTGGTGATTGTGATCATCCCCAAATGATGTGCTCATCTCCCGTAGTAGCTTTCACTGCTGTCCTTGTCCCACATCCTGAGTGCTTGCACAGAAGCTTAAGACCTCTGCAAAATTCTACTAAGATTTTTTTCAGTTCTCCTTTCCTCCATGAAACTGAAAATGCCATAACGTCTTCGGGTGGACAGACCAAGCACAGAAACCCAGTGCTTTATAAGGGTGAAGTGTTCTTAAATTTCTCTCGGTGGCTCAGCCTGTAATTCCAGCATTTTAGGAGGCTGAGGTGTATGGATTGCCTGCACCTGCGGGTTTGAGACCAGCCTGGGCAGCTTGGCAAGACCTCGTCTCTACAATAAATCAAAAATTAACTGGGTGTGGTAGTGCACACCTGTAGTTCTGGCAACTTGGAAGGCTGAGGTGGAATGATCACCAGTCCAGCAGGTCGACACTGGGGTGGCCGTGAGTGTGCCATTGCACTCCAGCCTGGGCAACACAGTGAGACTCCAACTCAAAAAAAAAAAATCTCTCCCTGCCCCACATCAGTTTTCTCGCCCATGTGGGAGTCTCCTCAAGCATTAACAAACCTGCCTCCCAGCAGCTGGTCCCAGGGACGGCCTGTCACTGAAGCGTCAGCCCTCAGAGTGCACTGGTTGGGAGTGTTGAATTGTTTGCCTGGTATGTTTACTGGGATTTTAAAAAATAGTTCTGATTATTGCTTTGGCTTTTCTCCTGAAGATCCATATATTGCATTGTTTTCCTTTCAGCCCCATCCTTGCCAAGCCTCCTGGGGCCTGGTCCAGCAAACTCACTGAATTAATATGGAAAGTCACCTGGAAAATTTCAGCCATCTGTTTGAGTTAATTGAAAATCTCGTTGAGTCAATTGGTGATGCTGTTTCTGCAGACTTGATTAGCTTCAAGGACAATGAAAAATTAGCCTCAGTCAGGACTTGAAGTTTGGATGCTGGGCTTCAGATTGTCTGCTTGCTCTAATTTCCTAAGCTACATGCGATAATGTGTTTTATGTGCAATATGAATCTGTGATATGTAAATGTCACACTTTCTAATACTGCTTCTGTGCCACACATCCTCGGGATTTTTTAAAAAGTAAGCTCAGATATGTCAGAAATCATAAACTTAGTGCAGATATTTGCCAACCATTGGACTGAGCACTGAGAATTTAGTAAGGAATGAAACGTGGAGCTTACAAACTAGAGGGGAATATAGACCTTGAACAAATCATTCCTAGCAAGTAAATCACTGCAGGCATGAGGAGAGATCGTGGAGAATTGTGGAAGAGGAGGCCCATCTGGTCTGGAGGGTGGGCAGTGTCATGGTTTAGGCCAGAATTTCTCAACCTCAGCACTAGTGACACGGGTCCTATTTATTCTTTGCTGTGGGGATAGTCCCATGCATCACAGTGTCAGGCAATGTCCCTGGCCTTACCCCCAGATGCAGTAATTCCCTGACTCCTCTTCTGGTTGTGACAGTCAAAAATGTCTCCAGTCATTGCCAAATGTCCCCACTCTTCTGGTTTAGAGTAAAGGTTCTCTAGCTGACTGCCTGGATTCAAATTCCGATCAGTGGTCTTGGTCAAGTTACTCAACTGCTCCCACTTCACTTTCCTCATCTGTAAGGTGGAGATGCACATTAACAACAAAAGTGCTATGAAAATTAAATGACATAAGGCACATAAGGCTGGCTTATACCACCATTCAGCCTCATGGTGTAAACACCACCAAAATGCAGACAACTCTCACCTGTAACTCATCCTTACCTATGTCAGAACTGCACGTTCACTAAGCTAACTGCCCACTCAACATTGCCACTGGGTGCCGTCAACATATAATTTTTTTCATCTTTATTTTAGCTTCAGGGAATACATTACATGCATGTTCATTACATGGATATATTGTGTAGCGGTGAGGATTGGTTCTCAGGTGGTCCATTCCCCAGACAGTGAACACTGTACCCCATAGGTAATTTCTGACCATAACCTTCCTTCCCACCTCCCCCCCCCCTCCCACTGGTTTCCCCAGTGTCTATTATTTCCATCTTTGTGACCATTTAGCTCCTGCATATGAGTGAGAACATGTGGAGTTTGGTTTTCTAAGTCACAACATATAATTTTTGATATGGTCAAATTGTTACTTTAAGGCAAAATAAATAAACATGTGTCCAAGATTTTAACTTGTTCTTTAATAAGGAACCTGTGAGTTGCTAAAAGCAGTCCAAAGGGCAGTTGAAAAGCCTGATATATATAGACAGCTTAACAAAGAAATGCTAGGATTCATTTGCTGGGTTACAGATCCAATCATAATCTTTGGGGACATCTGATCCATTAGACAAAAATCCATGAGAGAAGTCTACACAGCAGGCCTGAAAACTCCCAGCCAGTTGAAAGTCAAGCCCAGCATTGCCCTAGTGATCTTGACTGCCTCTTCACAATTTTCAAATAGATTTGCTGACAATGTCTAAACAGCACCTCAGATGAAACACAGTCCAAACCTCCAGCTCTCCCGGTTCACACCTACTGCCCTACAGTCTTCCTGTCTCAGTGCAGGGCAACTCCACTTTCCTGGCCACCTTTACTTCCATCTGTGCTGGGAACACTTCTTGATAGGTTGCCAGCATCAGCCTGTGCCTCCCCTCCCCTCACCTCCCTTGCCTGGCCCACTAGCACCCTAGGACTGCTACCCTCCCAAGATCCACTCCCCCTCTGGTCCCACCCCCTATCAATCCCACACAGTGACCAGAATGACCCCTTAAAGAACATCAGGCTACACATGCTTTGCTCCCAGCCATCCAGTCGCTTTTCAGTTCTCTCAGAGTAAAGTCAGGCTTCCTACAGTGGCCTACAAACCCCTCATAATCCGCTGCAGCCATGCACACCGTCTTTCTACACTGCCCCCCTCCTCAAACAGATTGCATCAGCCCTTGAGGGTCTGTGCCTGTAGGGATCCTCCCCACTTAGGTCTTGATCAAATATATTGTTCCCACAAGGACTTCCCTAATAACTGCATTTCATATTGCAGCCCCACCCCGCCCACCCCTGCTTTTATTTTCTTAATAGGACTTATCCCAATGGGAGTTTCCAGAGACTGTCTTTGTTTCATTTTCCCACTTGCTATTGAAAACATGCAGAGCCCTGGCTCTAGTCCTGCACCAAGGCTCCATAAATCTTTGTCGAATAAATACATTCACTTAACATTTAGCTGATAAAATCTTACTTTGATGGGATTCTTGAAGACTGAGACATTGTCAGTTGTCCGGTACCATTCTAAGAACCAAAACCTTAAAATATTTAACTACTGATGACATCCTACTATCTCAATTATAGGATACTAGAAGAATGAACTAAAAAATAAGATACCTACTTTAGGGAGGAACATAAAAAGTAATGAGACCTAAGTAATGCCCTCGAAAATCTAGAAAGGGACAAACACAGAGATTTCTGGAAGCCTGTGGCTTATTTCAGCAGGCCAGCTCAGGGGCAACCAAGAGGAAGAAATAAAACATTCAATATATCTATCATGTCACCTTCATACCACTCACTTCCAATTTCCTTTTTTGTTTGTTTATTAGCTAGCCTAACAACTCCTCCAATGGTTCCCAGATATAGTGAGAATTAAATCTGGGCCTTCAAATCTTTATGCTTGGCAAACATCATTTCTACGTGCCATGCTCTGTATGAGGCCCTTGGATAATTAAAATCTGTGGCCTCTCCCGTCAGGGAACTCACAGTCCAGAAACCCAGGGGCTGCAATGAAGTGTGGGAGGAGCCACACCTGGAGCAAAGATGCCCACTGCAGAAGGGAGTCAGAAGTGTTCAGAGTGGCTTCACAGATGCCGCAGAATCCTAGGGCAAAATTAGAGGCCCTCTTGGGAAGTCACTATGTTGAAGAGAACTAAGAGTAGCGACCCCAGTGCAAGGCTTAGATTTCCTGGGGCCAAGACAGTAGTGGCCCAGATGACTTGTTAAGCTGAGAACAGTTACACTGAGCCTGTCCAGGAAAGCATAAGTGCAGTATAACCTGTGGGTGGAAAGAAAAAA